GAATGGTGACCTGAACTTAATATTTCCTTCATAGGACTGGGGACAAATGTGTATTGAATTTTAAGCCATGTGGCCTTTTTGGTAAGGAATTACACAAAGTCGAAGGCTACATTCAGGATAAAAGGTAAAGTTTCCGTTTTAAATTTTGAGTTCTGTAGGTGTTGTTGGGGGCGGAGGGCAGTGACGGTTCAGCGGTGGAATTGCAGCCTTCCAGGTGGGCGACCCAGTTTGATCCCCAGCCAGTGCATTTCGTATTTGTCAGTGGAGGCTTATGTGCTGCTATGATGCTGAGCAGGTTTTAGCGGAGCTTCTGCACTAAGGCAGACTAGGCAGAAAGGCCTAGTAATCTACTTTGGAAAATCAGACAATGAAAACCTTACGGATCGCAGTGGTCCAACCCGCAACTGGTCATAGGAGGGAATGGTGCAGGACGGGGCATTGTTTTGCTCCGTTGTGCATGGAGTCACCATAAGTCAGGCGGCGATTCAATGGCAGCTAACAACGACAACAATAATAGGTGTTGTTCACTAAATAAAATGCTAGTACAGCCAGCCTTCTGCATCTGCAGGTTCCACAGCTGCGGGTTCCGTATCTGCAGGTTCAACCAACGGCAGATCGAAAATACTCGGGGTGGGGGGAAACGTTCCAGAAAGCAAAACTTGAATTTGCTGTGCACTGAGCACTATGCTGAATCCGCGCAAATGAAATGATGTGTAGACATCGCCTGCTGCAGCCTCCCACCATTTCACAGATCCTCAGTCTCTCTCCAGCACTCATTGTTTGTGCATTGCTCGCCTTGTGTCTTGTCATTATTCCCTAAACAATGCAGTATAACAGCTATTTACATAGCATTCACATTGTATTAGGTATTATAAGTACTCTAGATATATTTAAAGTATACAGGAGGATATGCATAGGTTATGTGCAAATACTACGCCATTTTATATAAGGGACTTGAGCATCTGCCAATTTTGGTATCCGCAGGCGTCCTGGAACCAGTCCCCCACAGATACTAAGGCAGAACTGTATTAAAATCTGCTGACATAATCTTATTAACCAATAAGTTGAAAAATCTTTCTTCTACCAAAAAAAAAAAACCTATTTCTGTAAAGAATCTGATTCATAAAAATCATTCTAATAATACTAGATTACAGCAAAGCACTGGTTTAACTGTTTGCTAAACATCCATTTCTTTTGACAGCAAAAAGAAACTATGTGCCCTTTATGGGAAGTGGACTGAATGTTTATACAGTGTTGACCTGGCCACTTTTGATGCTTACAAAAAAAATGATAAGAAAAATACTGAGGAGAAGAAGAACAGCAAACAGGTGAACACCCTGGAAGGTGGTATCAAAGGAATAACTGGACTCTTAAACATTTGTGATAATCCCTTTGGAGGTGGCCTGTTATTGGGTCACAGTTTGACCAATTTTTTTTTTTTTTGCCTGTTGCTAATGCATGGAATTTTTCTCCTTGAATCTTTTTTTCTTTTTAATTGTGGTATATATATATTTAACAAAACATTTGCCATTTCAACGCTCTTCACATGTACAGTTCAGTGACATTAATTATGTTTATCATAGAGTTCAGCCATCACCAGTATCCATTTCCAAATTTTTCCATCACCCTTAACAGAAGTTCAGTGTCCTCTAAGCATTGAGTCTCTTTTTCCCCTCCCTCTTTTAATGGGCAGATGTCTTGGTAGCAAATGCTTGACATAACTTTTTATAGAATATGGGTATGTACCACTTTTGTAACTATTTTATTTATATGGGACTTTAAAATCATTCAGGTAGCTTTGGAAAGTAGGAGTTCATCTTAGTGAGATAAACTTTGTTTTCCTCCTCTCTGTTTACATGCATTAGAAATTAATATCCTTTGGATATTTAAAACTTCCTCCAGAATTATCCCTCACATGTTCATGCTTATTGTGTTTTGTTGCCCTTTTCGCTGTCACTAAATCACTGAAGTTACGGCCATCGTAGTTAAACGAGTCACTCCTGAGCTGCTGTCCTTCTTTCCTTACTAAACTTTCTCTTTATGGGACACTTAACAGCCTGATAGAATTCCCCATGTGCGGGGCACATAGCTTCTTGTTGCATGACCCCAAGAAGGCTCTGCAGTTCCGCAGACTTCTGTCCCTGCCATGCAGGCAGAAGAGGGGAGAGCTAAAGAAAGATTGCACCTGTTTGGACAGGAAATATTTGTCTGAGTCCTGATTACCCTGCAGTAACTAGAAGAGCACAAACTCTGGGTTAGGATCCTCTGTCCAGCTTTAGTAAGTGGTGCAGCCTTAGACAAATTTCTCAACTTCTCTCTGCCTCAGCTCCTTCGTTTGTAAAATGAGGAGATAATAAAACAATACCTACCTGTTAGATGAGCTGACAGATGGAAGGGCTCAGAAGAGTACCTGGCTCATAGTAAGACTAAGTACTCCCTTTCTTCTCAAAGTATGTCTGCAGATTGGCAGCATGAGCATCATCCGAGAGCTTGTTAAAAATGCCAGGTGCTCAGGCCTCACCCCAGACATACTGAGGCACCATCTCTGGGGCTCTTAACGTGTGCTAGAGTTTAAGAGGCCCTAATATTCCTCGAAAACAAAAGATCTACTTATTCGTGACTTTCTTTGTAAATCGAGTTAACCGCAGTCCTGAGGTGAAAAGAGTTTCATTAAATGATCAGAGTACCCTGCTTTCTTTGCACTTGGCTTTTTTCTCTCTTCCTTACCCTGTGCACAGTTTTGCTTTCCCCCCCACATCCTACGTTTCCTGCCTCTTTTTCTGCATTCCCTGAGGTGCACTGATGCTTCCCTGCAGCTGTTCGGGAACTGATGGGGCTGGAGGAGATGTTCCAGGATCCAGGGAGCCATGGGACAGAACTCCTTGGCAGCAGCTACTGCCAGTATGAGGCAACTTGGCAAAAGACACCCTCACCAGCACACTTGCTGTCCATCCATCTTTCACAGAGGGCCGGGACAGGGAAAGACATGGGCAGGATTCCAGAAAATAACCCGCATGTTCCTGAAACCCGCTGTCAGTCTTTGTAGAAAAGTGGCCTTACCCCTTGGAGAGAGAAGTTATTCTCACACACGCGCTCCTTGTCTTCTCTCTCCTTCCTGTGTGCCATCTACCTGCCGTCGATTTTTAATGCTCTGAACATATTCACATGCTCTGGGAATTTTATCAACAGTCTTGTCACCTCCTTGCTGCTGATGTTGAGTTTTTTTATTTTTTATTTTTTTTAATTGTGGTAAAATGTATGTAACAAAAAGTTTGCCCCATTTTAACTATTCTTAAGTGTAGAATTCAGTGACATTAATTACATTCCCTGTGTTGTGCTGCCATCACCACTATCCATGTCCAAAAGTTTTTCATCTCCCCAAACAGAAACTCAGCACCCCGTAAACAATAACTCTCTTCCCCCCCTACTCCTCACCAGCCCCTGGTAACTCCCGATGAACTTTGGTCTCCATGTATCTGCCTGTTCTAGATATTTCATGTAAGTGGGGTCATACAGTATTTGTCCTTTTGTGTCTGACTTATTTCACCCCTTGATTTTTTTAAACTGTATATTCACTGAAAATTCCTCACCAGTCTTTCTAAATTTGATAACTTTGCCACCTTGGGAATATTATTTAGTCTTCCGAAGTCTTGAATTCTCTATGTATAAACCTATGGTAATAATATCTACTCCTAGGTTCATTACATTAGCTAAGGATTCAGTATATAGAGTACCTGGTATAGCTCTGGCTTATAAGGGGCAGCCAAAGGAAGTGTTAGCCTAACAACTTTCTAAATTCTCTTAATGAAATACATTCAGATTTCCTACTAGTTTTGTGTCATTGACAAATTTAGTCACCTACCTCTAGAATTTAAGCTTTTGTTGTTCTTAGAATGTTCCACGTTTTGGCTTTGGCTCTGTAGTGTGTCATCTCCTCGAAAGTCAGCCCGTTCCTGTACTTCTCTGGGATCCCTGTGCTAAGCATTTAGAAGTTGCTCAGTACATACTCAAATGAGTTATTTTGTCCTGACAAAAATGAAGCTTTTGAAACATTAATACACTGTAGTAAAGAATGATAATGATGATAGTAAGCCTTGAATACAGTACAGTAAAAAAATGATGGTGGTAAAAATATAACACTAAATGATACAGTGCATAAGGCAGTGATGTCCATAACATGTATTCAGTCATTGAGCAAGTATTTACTGCCTCCCTACACTGTTAAAGGTAGGAATATAAGAATCAGAAAGTCATGGTGTCCTTGACCTCTTGCAGTTTACAGTCTAGTGGTGTTCAATAAATGGTGATTGTTTTACACTTTGTAAATGTATTCATTTAAAACATTGTACTTAAGTTTTGCTCATGTGTTGATTCCTGTAGATGAGCACTTCTGAGGAGTCAGATGAAATGCCAATGCCAGATTCTGAAAGCGTATTTGTTATCCCTGGAAGTGTTCTCCTGTGGCGAATAGCCCCCAGGCCTCCAAATTCTGCGCAGGTGAGACCCGGCTCACTGAACGGGGCCTCGCTCTTCCTAGCTTGCTTTGATGGTGCGCTTCCTGGCAC